CCCCGCCCATCCACACAAGCTGGAACAAACAGGCCTTTGCACTGGAAGTTTGGTGTGATGGAGCCGTTTTCCCCCAGCAGTCCCTAAGGCTAACCCCTCCCCTCCTTCAGGTCTTTGCACAACTATTTCCTTCTTAACAAGACTTATCCTGACATCAGTTTAAAATTCCAGTTTGCCATTAACCCCTACACTTCCAATGCTCTGTATACTCCCCTTTTATCCCCATAACAGGTATCACCTTGTAACATATAATTTACTTATTTATTATGTTTATTGTTTATTGTCTACATTCCTCTACAAGAATGTAAGCTTGAAGGCAGAGGTGTTTGTTTGTTAATTGATGTTTCCTAAGTGCCTAGAACAGTGCCTGAGAATGAATGAATAAATCCGAGTGCCAAATGATAACTACTGAAGTAGTTTCCCAACTATGTCCCACTCCCTTTATATGCAGTAGCATTTCTCGAGCAAAATCAGCATTTACAGGACCCAAGATATGTTCCAACCTAAACCCGTATTTTTTCCTGTTGATATTGTGAATTATGTTAACTTCTTTAATTTAATTTAATAGATGAAAAATGGTATCTTATTGTTTTAATATGCATTCCTTTAAGTGATAATATGGTTGAAGTTTTTCCACATTTGTTTACTTACTAGTTAAATCCACCCTATATGAACAATCTGAAGCTTTGCCCATTTATTTATTGGAATGCTTACATTTCCTCTATTGTATATATTCTGTAATAAAATTAGCTACTGTTTATTGAGAGCTTTCTATGGGCCTGTGTTCTTAGTTACTGTACTATGCTATGGATAGTTCCATCTACAGCTGAATTCTATAAAGCTATACATATAAATAATATGGAATTATACTATCATACATGTCACACATAGGCATAGTTAACGTTTCTTGAGCATTTACTATGTGTCTTATAACAATTTTGCAAGATAGATATTATTGCTGCCTTCATTATATTGATGAAGAAATTGAGGGTCAGAGAGGTTAAGTAACTTGTCCAAGGTCACATAGCTAATAGCTCATAATTTGAACCCAGGATCAGTGCTCTTAATCGCTAGGAACAGCTATGTCCTACATCCTCCCTGGCATGTGAAGTCTTGTATTATGTGTTTAAATATACAGTTCTAGAGTTGAGTGGGGTTTTAGTAGATGTTTTAATGAGAAAACCTGAAAATTATCCTTAAATGTATTAAGCCTAGTACAATACGTTGCTAATTTATTAGAAAAGAATTTTTCTGCACTTTATTCTTAATGACAAGATGTCTACAATCATTTCACTTTTAAAATTGAATCAGATTAGAAGTCTTGATTTTTAGCTAGTTATTATTGGTCCTTACAAAAAAACAACCAAACCTGATGCTGTCGAGTTGATTCTGACTCATAGCAACCCTAAAGGACAGAATAGAACTGACCTATAGGGTTTCCAAGGAGCGCCTGGTAGATTTGAACTGCCAACCTTTTGGTTAGCAGCTGTAGCTCTTAACCACTACACCACCTTAGGTGGTCTTAATTAATATAATACTTATTTTACTAGGAAGATGAATGGGAATTATTGCTGCTTAAACGCAAGGATATGCTTTTTTTGTGTGTGCTCTTGAGGTTAAGGGATTTTGAAGATTATGTTTTGGTAGCATTCAGATTGCATTTGCAGAATGTCTTTCTTATTGGCTTGGTCATCTTTATTAAGTATAACACTTCAGTTTTACCTGTGGTATCTGATACACTATTCTTATTTTGCTGGAGGAATGTGCCTACATAGGTTGTTTTTCTATGTTTTAGTTGCTGAAATAAAAGAATAGCTTATCCTCAAAGTTTTCTTTAGGGTCTTCGTTATGTCCTCTTTGAATATTTATGTTTCTTATTAAACTGTTTATGATTCTGAAGACATTAGAATGCTGGAGGAAACCAATTAAAAAAAAAATGCATTTCTTCATGTCTTTTTTAGGTACACTGGATAGATGTTTTACTAATACAGTCCAAAAAATAGAATTCTGGTGAGCAGAATATCACACAAAATTCTCCTCCATAAGCTATCAATATCATTTAAAAAATAGTTTTAACCATTTTTATAAAGCAGGAAAGCTATTAAAAACTGCTAATAAAAAATAGGTGCTTATTTTTGTGCTAATACTAATTACTGATAATGCATGCTTATGTTTGTCACTCATTATATGGCACTGTACCAATCAGTGGATGACTGAGACTCAAGCACTTACACATGTAAATTAACCATTAGATTTTTTTCCTTTTTACTTAAGTGAGTCATAATGGAAAGCAACTCTAGGTCATAAAAAATCTTTTCTCTTTAATGCTAATGAAATGTCTCCACTCTCTATTAGCAGACTACTCTTACTGGTAATCTGTAGCTTTATTTTTTGTTCCTAGTGGTAATGAAATGCTGGGTGCTGAAAAAAACCCGCGCTCCAAGAATGTGTGGCCAATTGTCTTCTGTTCACTTATACTGTAAAATTACCGTTCCCCAGCAAAGCTGAACAAGTACGGGGACAAGATCAAAAGAGTGTACACTGGCACCCGGCTACACCAAGTGACTCCTGCTTCATTAATTAGCCATAGCTCCTCCAAGTTAATTTACTTTGATAGGGCAAAAGCATTCTGTAATACAAAAGCAACAAATTATAACTCAACCACAAGCCTTTATTGTTTGCTTTCTTCGACTTTCAGTTTAAACCTTTGCACTCTGTTATTAGCTAAATGGCCCCTCACTTTTCCGAACCTTAGGGCACAAAAGCTATTTTTAATTTTTTAAAAAAAAATCGGTGATATAGTCAAATGAATATTTTTATTCTCTGAAATTAGGTAACTTTTAATTGACGCCATTCTTTTTAAAAGTCAGTATAGTGGGAGTCCAATTTAAAAATGCATTTGCTTCTAAAATTTGCAAGCTTGCTCTGTCCTCTCATCAGAAATGCCACTGGTGTTTAAGCGTTTGAAAAGGACCTTCTCTGTGAGTGTTTTTGCGGAAGCAAAATTTGACAGTGATCTAAGCTCCAAATTAAATCATATCAGCACCACTTTCCTTTTTAATCACCACTTTGGAAGTTCCTGAAGTCTTTTTAATTCAAGGAAACGTCAGTTGTTTTTTCTGTTAATGTATTTAAAAGTTATAGCCTGAGACAGCAAAAAATGACCTGCACATCCCCATCTCATGGTTTGGTTTGGTTTTGTTCAGGTGAGAAGGAAATAAACTTTTGAGGAGGATGTCAGCTGTAAAGAGAAAGGTGCTCTAGGCCTGTGTCACCTAGGTTGTTGTTGTTTGTTGTGTTATAGCTGTTTGGTTGGTAACTTTTAGTATTTTGATTTAACTGAAAGAATTCTACTAGCTTCTTTGTCCTCTAATATGATTTAAAAATAACAATGTGATATACTTTGTAATTTTATATGTATATATATATATATATATATATATATAAATATATTTTAATGAGATTATTTGAAACATGCCGTTAAAGAAAGGATCAAAATATTTTAAAATTGGGAGTACCTAAAACCCATGTTATTATATTCTTAGGGGAAGTTAGAATGATTAATAGCAACCTTCAGTATACGTTTAGTTTTGAAGTCAACTTCCTCCTCTCCTGAATTGCTGTATTTCTTTGTGAGTTTTTAAAGCTTTTTAAAAGTTATCATTAAGTTTACTTTTTAGTGGGAATTAAAAAATAATTTTTGAAAAGATCAGTAGTTATATGTATCTCTGTAACCTAACTTAGATGGAATAGTTTTATCTGCATTATGCTTTTCTAGTTTTGCAAAAAAGCACTGTGCTAACCATTCTTGTAAGTATTTTTTTTTTGTTTTTGTTTTTTTGTAGAAGGAATATTTGTGTTTGTGAAGGTTGCAGAGGCTGGCTGTGCTGGAAGTGACTGCAGTGCCTTTTGATTATTCATGGACAGTAATAGAAGGCACTTAAAAAGAACAATGAAATTGCTTATTTTTGTGATGGGCCATCTGTTGAATTGTTTTGTGCAACAATTGCACAATAGTATCTATGTCATATTATTCTATTTTCAACAGCAGCTGATTATGTCTCACTGGCTACTTGTCCTTATTTCTAAAGTCCCATGACCATTTAAAGTCACCTTTCCAGGGACCTTTGCCAGAAAGGTATTAGAAATCTCAAACAGCCTGTGTATTTTTTTTCTCTTTTATTTTCTCTCTTCTTTTTTTTGGAGGGTGTGGGGTGGGAGGAGGGGGTTGGTCATGTTAGTTCTAGTTAATTAGACTTCCTAAATGTTTAGGACAATTACTATGCTTTCCACCTGTAGTTCTATAATAGAAGTTAACATTGAACCATTTGATAATTTGCGTAAAAATGATAGGCTTGCAGAAAAGAAGAGTCAAGTTTAAAAGACTGCTGTACAGTCTTTCATGCTTTTAATTATCGACTCTTTTCTTCATGATGATAATTAGAATTTTTCTCTTGGAATTCACTTCCATCTTAAAAAAAAAAAAATAGAAAAGATGAGCCATTAGCAAATTTGTTCAAGCAGAAGTGAAATTAAAATAAAACAAATGTGTTGTTGTCCATAGGTCACTGACATTGCTGATGCCATGATTCTGAAACAGCTTTTTGAAAATCTGTTCAAAAACGGGGTCGTCGTTGTGGCAACATCCAACAGGCCACCGGAAGGTAGAGACAAACATTGTGCTAGTCTTATCCAATTAGGCAGAAGCTAACAAGCTTCTAAAAATCCATAATTTTGTTAATAAATCTGGTGACTTTGCTTATCATTAGTTTTATAACTGAATTAATCTGAAAAAATCAGTAGGTATTTGTATTTGAAAAATATTTATGTTTTTAGCAAGCTAAATCCAGGTGATCTTCCATGTTTGGTGCACTTGCCGTTTTTCTCTGAATATTAGATACGTTGTATGTGAGTTATCAAAAAGTGTGGGCCTTTCTAACTACTTTTTATGGGCCATAAAAGAAACTCGATAAAATGAAAGACAAAACTTCTAATTAAATTTTAAAAAAAAGATTAAAGCTCTCTTGCAGAAGTCATTTCTAATACTCCACTTTAATTTATTATTTCTAAAAAAGCACTTGTGGCTTGTTAAGAAAGTGTTTTGGAATTAAAATTCAAGTAATATGTAGATAAAAAACAAGTTTAAAGTCTTATATCTTTTAGCCCATGATGAGGTCAGCTGAAGGTCTAAGGCACTAAAAATAATATTTTATGCAGACTTAATGGTAACAATTTTTTTAAAAACATAAATGAAGGCAGTAGTCTGTTTCCCTTGTTTTCTGTATGGAAGGCATGATTTTAAAATATCAGTTCTGCCAGTTAAAAAAAATCCATGGAGAATTTGCTGTAGTCCAGTTATTGTGCTATATGCTGAGTATTTCAATATGACTAAGGTTTTTCAGAGCCCACAGCCACTCACACAGGGCTGGCAGACAGCTAGGCAGCTGGCTCTGCCTCATGGAGGTGGGAGAGCTATGGGAAGAGAGTATTCTAGGACGATTTTTGGAGGTAAGCCTAGATGGGTAGATAGAAGCCAGATTGCAACCTGTTCTTCAACAAGTCTTTATTCATTTTTCAGAAAATAATTACTGAAAGCTTTCTTTTCGCCTAGAATATGTTTCAGAATTTAGGTAGAGGGGGGCGGGGCTTGACTCTGCTATAGCTGACTTGTTGACTTAACGGTATTACCGGTATTACCTTCAAACACTCAACGACAAGCCATGTTCATAAAAAGCAAAGTGCTAGAACAAGCTCAGAAACCCCTAGCTAACAAAGACTGCTGAAGGGAAAATTACAGTTGGCTGCTCAGGCTACTGAAATGTGGTAAGCTAAGCAAAGACACCCACAAGGAGAAGTTAAGGAGCCTACTGGAGCTCGCAGCTTTGTAGGAGTGAACAAAGTTACAGGCTTACCAAGGTAGTGTGTAGACGTCAGGCGTAGAGCTACTTTTCTGGGGAAGATTGAAAGTTCAAGATGCAGAGTTGCAAAAATTGGACATTAGCCACAAACCTATAGAAAGTCTTTTCTAAAATGAACCATAAGAGGAATGCTGGTCATATACCAAGGGTTTAGCCACAGCAGATAAACAGTCATCATAAATAACTTAATATTTTAATATAAAGAAGGTGACATACATGTAATTTCTATTATTTTTTTTATTTTTATTGTACTTTAGGTAAAGGTTTACAGAACAATTATTTTCTCATTAAACAGTCAGTACACATATTGTTTTATGACATTGGTTAACAACCCCACAACATGTCAACACGCTCCCTTCTTGGCCTTGGAGGAACCCCTTTTTTTTTTTTTTTGGTGAAAATATACATAGCCAAAGATACACCATTTCAAAAATTTCCACATGTACAATTCAGTTACGTTGATTATGTTCTTCCAGTTGTGCTGCTATTCTCACTTTAGATGAAGGTTTACAGAACAAAATAATTTCAACATACATGTAATTTCATGGGTGAGGAAACAAGACTCAGAGAGTCTTCCTCTTAGTAATTCAAGATTACATGGATATTAGGAAAAGGCAAAACCATAGGATGGAAAATGGATCAGTGGTTGCCAGGGGTTGGGGCTGGGGAGGTATTTGACTATAAAGGAGCCCACAAGAAGATTTTTTAGGGTAATGGAACTATTCTGAATCCTGATTGTAGTGTATTACATGTGTTAAACTTATAGAACAGTACACCAAAAAAAAGTCAATTTTACTCTTTGTAGATTTAAAACAAATCACATGGAGAGTGAATGGCAAACTGTGACTAGACCCTAGGTTTTATGACTCTTTTTTTACATTGTCCTCTAGATTTCCTCCTTGTTGGTCATCACTGATCTTTGCCCATGCTGTCCTGCATAAAGAATGTCCTCTTTTCCAACCATCAAAATGCATTCATCTTTTATTTCAGTTCACAGCTTTTGATTCACACACCCAGATAGTATTATTTATTTAATAGAACCTACTTATTCTCAGAATGCTAGAAGAGATGGGGGAGGTGACTTCTTGGCAGAGGGTTGAGAGAAAGCCCAGTGACTGCACGGAGAATGATCCATTTGAGGAAAGGTAACCAGTGTGGCTGGAGTGCACAGAGTGCGGGGAAGTAGGATGGAGGGAAGTGCAAGACGAGTCTGGAGATGTAACGGCTAGGCCTTGTAAAGTCACAGTAAAGAGTTTGGACTTTATTCTAAGATAAATGAGAAGCCATTGAATTCAAGTGCTTTAAGTGGGGATTGACAAGATCAGAGTTAGAAATATCACTTGTAGTGTGGAGAATGCAGGGAAACATGTTAGGAGACTATTTCAGTATACTGGGAAAGAAACAATGATACCTTGGTATAAGGCAGTGGTACTACTTTCGTTCTGTTATATATAAGATCACTATGAATAGGAGCTGACTCAACAGCAACTAACAACAACAACAACACATTGATATAAGGTACTTTGCCCTCCAGGGGACATTTGACAATATCTGGGAACATTTTTGGTTGCTACTGGAGTCTAATAGGTAGAGGCCAGGAATGTTGTCAGAACATCCTCTAATGCACAGAACTACCCCCACAACAAAGAATTATCTAGCCAAAAATGTTCAAAATGCTGAGGTTGAGCAACCCTGGTATAGGGTGATGGCAATGGACATGGCAAGAAGGATAGTTTTTTTTTAGATTTTTTTTTATTGTACTTTAGATGAAGGTTTACAGAACAAATTAGTTTCTCATTAAACAGTCAGTACACGTATTGTTTTATGACATTGGTTAACAACCCCATGTCAACACTCTCCCTTACCATTACCTTACCTCCCTTACCTTACTCTCCCTTATCTTACCACTCTCTCTTCCATTACCATTATCTTCAACTCACTGCCCCCAGGCTTCCCATCAAACATTTTGATTTGCTGTTGTCAATTTGATCTCACATAGATAATTCTTTTTTTTTTGCACCTTAGATGAAGATTTGCAGAACAAATAGTTTCTCATTAAACAATACACATATTGCTCTATGACAATGGTTAACAACCCCACGACATGTCAACACTGTCGCTTCTCAACCTTGGGTTCCCTATCACCAGCTTTCCTGTCCCCTCCTGCCTTCTAGTCCTTGTTCCTGGACTGCGGTGCCTCATTAGTCCCATTTTGTTTTATGAGGCTGTCCAACCCCCAGTGAATGGTGAACTTTGGGAGTGACTTCACTACTGAGCTAAAAGGGTGTCCAGGGGCCATACTCTTGGGGTTTCTCCAGTCTCTGTCAGGCTAGTAAATCTG